TTAAACAAATCTTCCAATATCGATTCTGGCTTGCATAAGCAATAATGCCACAACTCAAGAAGTCTTAAGGTAAGATACACCTAAGTCTTTGAGATATTATACTTATTCAACTCAAATTTATTAGTTTTTAAAATAGATATCTTGTCTCAAAATAATATCTTTTGCAAGTTTCATAAGTCCTACCATTAAGTCACCGTTTGACTTATCGTAAATAAAGTCACTTACTTATCCCATGATACTCATTTTACCCTCATGAAACAGAAAAATATTAAGATAGCGTTTGATATGTGAGAAGTGGGAGTTCATTTCCTGTAATGTGTCAATAGCATTTGGTATGAGAAAAATGATAGCACACTCCCTACAATGTATCTAATTAAATTACATTACAATGTCTGTTTGCAACAGACCACCGCAATGTAAGATTACAATGCAATCACATTATAGTCAAGGGATGTAATGTGATTACAGTCTAAAATCAATGCAATCACATTACATTGTACTCTGCAATTTTATTACTTTGTTAAAAATATTTTATAATGTTATAATTAAAATAAAATATATTATATAAAAATTAAAAATTAAAAATTAAAATAAATAAAATATAAGAAATTAAACTTTATATAATATAGGTAAAAGAAATTAAAATGAAATATATAATATAAAAATTGTATTAAAGAAATGAAAATAAAATATGTAAGATTATAATAAGAAATGAAAATAAAATATATGATATTAAAAATATATTTAAGAGATGATATTATATAAAAATTAACAATAAAAAATATAAGTATATTAAACTTTTTTTTTAATAAATAAGAATAGTTTTAAAAATTAACATTACATTTTTAGTAAAGTATTTGTAAACTAAACGCTATAATATTATCTTCGTTTTATTTTAATTATTATTTTACTTATATATTAAATATTAAAATATTATTTTTTTTACAATCACGTTACTTAGATTTAGTACTTTACAATGTAATATAAGTATAAGTAATATGATTATAAATAACATAATTACTAACAAATAATGTAATTGTATTATAGAGTACCAAACGCACTTGAGTGTAAACAATCTAATAAAGAGAGAAATCATGGATTCCTTCCTTGCTGCCATGTTTCCCTGCGCCACTTATCGCCTAAATTCTTCACCTACATACTCTAATATTTTATTTTAGGTTTTCTCTGCAGCTACTGATCTTGGAGACTAAAAGTCAAACAGAGTTTAATGGACGGGAAAGGATACTTCCTCCGCCTCTTGAAAATTTTCAAAATCTTGGCTGTGACGGAGAAGGCGTTTATCGCAATAGGCGCAAGACTGATGAAAGTGAACGCACAAAGGAAAGCATGTTCAAGGCCTATAAATTATCCTTTTGAAGCCACACGTCCAAAGCAAGATGATGCTTGGGTTCTCACCATAAAAAGTGGGGAGCATGATCACGACCCTTTAAAAGATATGTCCAGAGCATCCTTATAGTCATCGTTTTACAAAGGAAGAAATTAGGCTAATCAAATTAATAACTGAAGCTGGTATAGAACCACATCAAATATCCAGACGAGTTACAGTCAATTGCAAGGCATTTGTACAACCTTAGAGAGAGAAAGCATGTACCTACTCTATTTTTGCACTGAAAATACAAAATCTTCCGATTAGGATTTGAAAACGTCAAATTACATTCGATTAAGGTTTCACTTGTCACAAATGATGAAATTGATCAATGTTTTTCTTTGGTTTTTTTATGTAAGGCAGAGTCCGCTTTGCCTTTTCTCCTCATTTTAATTTCCCATGCAAATGAGTTTCAATTTTCCTGATTATTGTTTCTGCAACAAAGTAATTCAATATACTTGAGTTTTTGAGTTTTGGGGTGTAGGATGGATGAAGGCATGAAGTAATCTGGAAACAAGAAAAACACAAAATTAATGAGCTTGGATTTTAGGGTTTAGGATTCAGATTTAGGACGATGATGAAAAAAAAAAATTTAACATGTGAATGAATAGTATAATATGATTTTTAAAAAGGATTTTGGTGATTTAGGGTCATGAGTAATTCAGTAATTTTTTAACATCGGTTAACGTTGTTTGCTGTTTTGAGACAGAATATCTATTTTAAAATCAAATGAACTTGAGATTAATTAAGAAGAAATAAAAATTTTGGTGTATTTTTATTTAATTTTTGTTCATATACTTTTTTTTCTTTCCTAAATTAGGTTCTTTATGCGTTTGAAAATGAATGCTTTCCTACCACTTTTTAATTTTTTTTTCCTTTTAGATTCACTTAAATCTCGTGCTATGCTGCTTTTGAAAATTTTTAAGAGTTATTTGGGATTTTTCGAGCTTAGGTATGGACTTTATTATTCTTTTTAGTAAATTATTTTTTTTTTTCAAAATATCAAACTTAATCCCTTTCAAAATGAAAGCTTGACAAATGAGAAGCACACGTGCTTGACATGTACTTATTAAAATGTTTCTAGATGGTTACATAGCATTTTACTCCTCATGTGTCAAATTTTGATTAATTGATAGATAAATTAGTAATTTTTTTAACGTGTGAAAGGGCTCTAACTGTATTTGACATACAAAATGAAAGCTTAAGGACTATGTTGAACATTTTTTAATACAAAATCAAATTAGACTATATGACAACTATAGCTATCAATAGCCGAAGTTCATGCATGATTCAAAGCAACAACCAATGCAAAAAGAGAAGGGAAATTTGGATCCGTTTCCACTAGAAAGACCGCCTACTCATTTAGAAATTGAAGACTAAATGCAGCAAACCATGGAAAAAAATTTCACGTAAACCAAATCTTAAGTAGATAAGAGAGAGATTACAATTTTATATTAGAGAAGGATGATTTGCAAAGGAAAGGAGAGCAAAGGGAGGTTGATTAAGAAAAAAGAGTATTTTTTGAAAATTGAAATATTTTTAAAAGAAGATAAGAGAAAGCTTTTCTTTAGAGTTTTTTATTAATTTTTTTTTAAAAAAATTATTTTTTCTTAAAAGTTTTCAAAAATCTTATTTAGTTTAGTTTTTATTTTTAAAAGATAAATAAATTAAAAAAAATTAAATTAAATAAGCACTTAATTAGTATATTTCCTCACTTTAAAAAATTTTTCTCATAATTCTAAAAAGGTAAAAATCTTTTATTATTATCACTATTATTTATAAATTTAAATTGTGAACTCCACTGGAGAAGGATCCACAACGGACTCTTTGTATGGATTATAAGGAAGTACTAGTAATAGAGTTTTAACTATGTTTATTTAGTAACTAAATATGAATAGTGAGAAAGAAGATGTGACAGGCTATTATTTTTCTCAAGTTACCTATGTCCTTTTTGAACATGTAAAAGTCTTGTTTATTGTGTCTTATGCGGATGCATGACAGTTGTGTAACACCTACTACTTGTCTACTTGTTCCTATTTTCTGCAAAAAGGCCAAAGAAAAAACAGATGTTTCCTATCTATGGGTTGACCCAAGGGCCACTAGTGTAAGACCCTTTTTTTGGTGCAACATTGTATTTCTGACATATTTTCTAGATTCTAGATAGAATGTGTCGAAAAACTTGTGGGAAGACTGACCTGACATGTTTTCTGCCCTTTCAAACCAAGCGAGGCAACCACTTAAACAAGTGGAAACCAAGTCAGCTCGTAGTCAACACGAGAGACAAATGGAGTCACGGAAATTGGACCACTTTGGTTATTATGGGCTTTTAACTGCGAATCCTGCTGTCGCTGCAATGATGAAGACATGAATGGAAAAATCTTTAAAATTTGCGGAGTCCGTCTTTTCTAAGGTACTAATATCTTGATCCATGACGTCGAGTTTTTGTTATAAAATATTGTCTACACAATACAATACAGATTGAAACTCCTAAAACCTTTAAATATCAAATTTTAAGTCTCATTATCAATGAATTCACTTGGACTAAAGCTTTCCCCCACCTCAACTCAACTGATCCATTTATAACCTTACAATAAACATAGAGCCAATGTGTGGGTAATTCAAATCTGTCTACCCATGTCCCAAAATTATCAGTATTGGGTTTGGTTTTTTGTTATGCCTGTGCCATGTCACAAACATGCCCAAACCATGTTACAAACACTCCTAATTTTTAGTGCATCGTAATTGTTAAAAGTAAGATTTGATTTTTTAAAATTATATATAATTTTTATCATTAAAAATTAATTACAGAGTACATTAAACTCGTACTTTGATATATAAATATAATTTTAAAAATTAATAATACATTCCTAAAACAAAACCAAGATAAAAACTAATAATCCTTCTAGCAATTTGATAACCAACAATCATTTTATCAATAATTACATTCTATTTGAATCATGAAACAATAAGACACTACACGTCATCTTAATATGTAATATGAATATATGATTGTAACATTGAATGTATGTAAAACTTAAAAATAGACTTTGTAAAAGTCATTCTTTTGCTCATAGTCATAATTGTAAACATTATATTTCATTAAAAAAAAGGAAGAAGTGACAAATTATTTTATTTTGATTTGGTAAGATGGAAGTAAAAGAAAGAAATGGAAAATTGATAGATTTTCATTTTTCTCAGAATTTCTAATCTAATCATTTCAAAGGTGATAGAAAAAGTATAAAAGATTTCTCCAACTTAAATTAATAATTTTATTCTTAACGTTCTTCTTCGTACCAAACATAATCTTTCCTCTATTTTATTTTATTTTTTTTATATCCTCCATTTTCCTGCCTTCCTCCCTTCCCATCAAACATAGTGAATTCAAAGCATAAATTCATCAACGTCGTTTCCCTCAATTCCTCGTTTGATCAGTACCCAAAAAATCGTTACTAGAAAATTTTGAATCCAAGGCAATGCACTTGCTTTCTTTAGTGGGCCTTACAAATTGTGGCCGAAAATCAAATTTGGTTGGGCCCAAAATTGCCCATATCGAAACTCATTAGTCCACTGCCATTAAAGGAGACAGAAATCGATGTGCGCCCGCCACCTTGGAAAGACCAAACCTCCACGAGTAAAAACAAATCCTCTTCCAAAGCAAAAACCAAAACGCAGAAGGAAAAGTCATACTCTCTCCATCTCATATTCCTCTCTCAGTTTCTCGCCCAACTCCAGGTACATTACTCACTTCATTTCATTTAATTAATTAATCCATCTAATTATCTACCATAATTTGACCTTTTCAACGAATCCCTAATTTCAATTCCCTCAAAACCAAATAAAATTTTTCTTCCGCAAATCTCTCTACTTTTTGTTGACTTAAAACATTGGATTTTTATGATCGAGTGATTGCTAAAGTCGGGAAATTGATATTTGGCTAGGGTTTTCTTTTTCGATCAATGACGGGGGAATTGCAGCTAGAGCCAGCAGGTGCACGAAACCCTAGTGACTCTGATCCTCTGTTAGAAAACCAGGCCGATTCGTTATCCTCTGCGAGTTCAAGTGAGATTAGGAGTGAAGATATTGAGAATGTTTCTGCTCCTTGTTGTCGCATCTGCCTCGAATGTGATGGCGAAGAAGGTAAACTTGCTTCTCTTTTTTTTTTTTTTAATGTTTAATTATCGATCTAAGCTTTTTAGCTTAAGTTTGTGAACTGTAATGTGATGATGTTAAATTATGTTAAGTTGTAGGAAATCATATTGTACATGGATATTTTTGTCTCATGGTTCTTGTTGAATTTACAAGATTATTATGTATATGAAAATTTTGCCCTAAGGCTTGTTTCATTCGTGTAGATGATGAACTGATATCTCCATGCATGTGCAAAGGCACCCAGCAGTTTGTTCATCGTTCCTGCCTTGATCATTGGCGTTCGGTAAAGGTAATTAATCTTGTTCTATAACTGGATATGAAGGCTAAGTTCTTTAGTTATGTGTTAAAGTTTCTGTAAGTACTTGGTAGTTGATCTGATGTGGGCCTTTTCCTCCTCTTTTGATAGGAAGGATTTGCTTTCTCCCATTGCACAACTTGCAAAGCGCAGTTTCACCTTCGAGTTGAATTGTTTGAGGACAACTCTTGGCGTAAAATAAAATTCAGACTTTTTGTGGCAAGAGATGTGTTTCTTGTGTTCTTGGCTGTACAAACTGTAAGTCTCCTTAATTTTCTATCAGTACATTCCACAGGCTTGTATGGTTACTGCATACCTGCTAATTAACAGCCTCTTACTCTTCACATATATCTGTCATTATTGCTAATTTTGATTTGTGTATGGGGTGATCACTTGCTGGGTTAAGGTGGCACCTACTTCTGGAAATCCCTGCAACTTTTAGTAAAAGTGTTCATATTTTTTAAACAATTTCATATTTTCATTTGTGTTAGCAAAAGTGTTTAGATACTTTAGAACAAATTCATATTTTTATTTCTGTTAGCAAAAGTGTTTAGGATGGCATTTTGAAAAGTTCATCATGAAAATTTTCATTTTACCGTCTATTGAGAACTCTTGGCTACAAAGCTCTCTCTAATTTGATTTGGGGTGGCATTTTGATCTTTTGTTTGGTGTTCTATGTTGGTTAAATTGCTGAGGCTATTGCATTCCTTGTCATGTAACTGTAGGCTTTAAAAACATTTCTTTCTCATGAATCATGATATTTGAAGGGGTATAAATCCACAATTTTTGGGTTTGCTGTAGGCTATGTGTGTGTGTATATGTGTATTTTACATTTTTAGTTGGGAACATGGGATATCTTGATTTGGTGGCCCACATTTGAGGATTCATTTACTGTTCCTAGATCTGTCTGCATTAGCCTCTTTCTAGATGTGGGTACTTTGCAATAATTTTTCTCAATACTTTAATCTAGATGTTGTCATAATACCATACTAGAATCAGACTTCTTTACATGGACACATTGTAAATGGGAACTGTGTCCAAGTACCTTAATGCCACCAGGTTCATAGATTTGCCTTTCTGTTGATGGGAAAAAGAAAGGAAAAATAAAATTGAAACAAGGCAGGGCCTGGAAGGGTGGAAGAGGTCAATAATCTTCGAAAACCTTCTTCTATCCAAGCCATTAGGTATTCAGAAGTCAGAAAGATTGAGAACTTGAACTCATCTGATTTATTTATCCTCAATTTTGCCTTGAGATGATCATTATAATGAATTTATCTATTCTTCAGCTAATTGCTGCTATGGGAGGCTTTGCATATGTCATGGACAAAGATGGGGCTTTTCGGAAATCATTCAGTGATGGTTGGGATCGCATACTGTCAAAACATCCTATACCATTTTATTATTGCATAGGTAAATTTCCCTAATTCTCTGTTTTTTTTCTCTATTGTTTAAATATTTTCTGCATTAACCACACTGTTCAACATTCCTGTCTGCATTGTTATAGTTTAGTACATGATTTTGGCAGCATATGCCAATTTCCGTTGTAGTACCATGAGAAACTTCCTAT